AGAGATATACTGAAGATTTTAACACTGCTTGTCTTTGGAAGATGGAATTAAAATATTTATAAAAATTATTTTTGTTGAAATTTTCAACTTTGACATGAACATGGGAGGATTTTATGATGAGAGAAAATAACTTGTTAGTAAAATTATTTTAACTTTTTTTCTTGTCTTTCTCCAATCTAAGACTTAACTCTTTTGATATTAAACATAGAATTGACCTACAGAGAACATTCAGTGAGATCACCAGATTGCTGTTCACTTTCTTCTGACGCAGCAGGGGAGGTGGGTCAGTCCTTGCCTCTCTCCTCCTACTGGGAGGTCCCTGACTGACGTTGAGCACAAACATCTAAGGATGGAGGTCTGATTGTCTGGATCCAGCTACAGGAGTGCACACATCCATCTGGGACTCATCCTTGTGGGACTGGTGAGACCCTGTGGTTCTGAAGAGAAGTTCAGGAAGGCATGAGAGGTCTGCGTGAAGAAGCCTTCTAAGTACTTAGAGGAGGATCAGGGCCCCAGCCAAACAGAGTGGGATTCTCTGAAGGGTTCAAGTCCCAGAGGGATGTGTTACCAGGCTGAGTGATTAAATAGAACATCCAGTTGGCAATTAAGACAAACCAGACCTAGGGGCGCCTGGATGGCTCAGTTGGTTGGGCGACTGACTTTGACTCCGGTCATGATCTTGAGGTTCATGAGTTCTAGCCCTGCGTCGGGCTCTGCACTGACAGACAGCTTAGAGCCTGGAGCCTGCTCTGTGTCTCCCTCTCTCTCTGCCCCTCCCCCGCATGTGCACGCTCTCTCTCTTTCTCAGAAATAAAAATAAACATTAAAAGAAATTTGAAAAAAAAAAAAAAAAAAGCTAAACCAGGCCTAAAGGAAGTATTATCAAAACCAGTGACGTAGGTGGCTCTCCGGTCCCAGTCAAGAAAGGGAAGAAAAATGCACATTCCCTAAATGTCCACTAGGTGGCAGGACCTCTCCTATACTAAGAGCTTAAGAGTATGCATTCTTAGGCATTTCCTCCTGATTGTTTTTAACCATCACCCAGAGGGCTGGCTAAAAAACACATTCTTGGGCCTCTTTTCAAAGCTTCCAATTCAGCAGTCTGGATTGAGGCCTGAGATTCTGCATTTCTGACAAGCTCCTGGTGTAGTTAGTGCCACTGGTTGGTGCACTTTGAGCACCACTGAATGTATCATCTCAGACTCTGGGAAGGAAGGAGGTGGGCAGGAGTAGGATGTGGTCCTTGTGGCTAAGCAATCAGTTCAAAAACTCCAGGGAGGTGTAGTGTGGAGACAGAAGGGTGGCTTGGGGAAGGGAATGGGGTCGCTTGCTTCTGGTTGGAAATAGCCCCTGGTACTAGAGCAGGTTTGAATTGTGGGCTTTGCAGCAGAATGTTAGGTTGCCAGAGTTCTCATTCTAGTTAAATGTGTTACCAATTAATTTCTTTAGAAGGACTGTAGCGGATAGAAGCACAGGTATATGCAGATTAAAATGAAACTGGTGTTCAGACCAAAATGAAAACCAAGACATTGAATATACACCATAAATAAGCGACAAGAAAAACATCAATAATTCTATAAAGCATAATTATTTGAACCGAAGGACCATTTAAAAAAATATCTGGTCCATTATAGCTCAATATGTGGTTATACTGCACACGACTGTGACATAGCTGTGGCCATGCATGGCTGACCAGGCAAGTTTGACAATTCCTGACTGGTCCAGTCTCTGTTCAGTGATGTGAATCCACTGATCATGTATTTGAAAGTCAGTGGTAATGTCAAATTGCTAGAAAAGTTTCTAATGCTTACTGTTAGTCTGTATTTGCATCAATAGAGAGTAACGATGACAATTTGTAGAAGGGTACTCATCCACAAACCACCCTTGGAGATGCACTGATCTAGATGGGCTACTTACTGACCTGAGAGACAGGCTTATTGTGTAACTCAAGCAGGCAATTTGTTCTTTTGGCTCTTGCACCGTAGATCCTTAACTTTTTGTATCCTTCGGGACCATTTAGTTCTTGTTAATTCCATTTTGGGTCCTTGAAATGGGGCTCTTTGGATATACTTTTGGCCTTGATGCTATTTTTCATACTCAGACATCAAGGGTAATGTCCTACATATAGCAGGCACTTAATAAACACTGATGGGATAAACGCATGGAATTGTAGCCCAGGACTGAGATATCAAGCATGCTTGGGGGCTGGAAAGAGATAGCCAGGAAATAAATATCCAGCATAAATGGATATTAAAACAGAACTCTCCTCACAGTGATTTTATACAGGTGGCAGACGGGCAGAGCAGATGAACAAGAACCAACTCCAAGAAGAAAAGAGCGACTAATCAAGTTGTTTCTCTGGCCTCACAGGTGTCTCCCTAAATAGAGTTGTCCACTGTGAATGAGTAAAATTCAGTTTATACGGTTCATGGGCCATGACAACATTGGGCTTCCTGTGGCATTTTCATGCTCAGCCAAGCCATTGACTTATGTTCATGCCAAGGTGAACCCTGCTGGTTACTGTAGAAACTACCAGAGATTTTTCCTTAGTTGTTTTCCTTTTTTTTTTTATTTCTTATTTTTTATTTTTATTATTTTTTTAATATGAAATTTATTGTCAAATTGGTTTCCATACAACACCCAGTGCTCATCCCAACAGATGCCCTCCTCAATGCCCATCGCCCACCCTCCCCTCCCTCCCACTCCCCATCAACCCTCAGTTTATTCTCAGTTTTTAAGAGTCTCTTATGGTTTGGCTCCCTCCCTCTCTAACTTTTTTTTTTCCTTCCCCTCCCCCATGGTCTTCTGTTAAGTTTGTCAGGATCCACATAAGAGTGAAAAACATATGATATCTGTCTTTCTCTATATGACTTATTTCACTTAGCATAACACTCTCCAGTTCCATCCACGTTGCTAGTAGCTGTTTCCCTTTTAATACTAGAATCTTGAGGAAGGACTTTAATGTAATAATTTAATTATATTTTCTTATTAAATAGTTCTCTGACTTTCAGCAAAGGAGAGCTTAATGAATCCAAAATGGGTTATCAACTCTAATCCCCCCGATACGTCATGCCTTACCCCACACTCATCTGTCCTATTCTCCTTCTCCATACCTTACTAGGCACACAGTGGAGCACAAGGAATTTATGTGATTTAATGGTGCATAGCTAATAATACTGATCACAGTAATAATGATAGCTGCCATTTAGAGAGCACTTATGAGAGGTACTATGCTAAATGCTTAAATATATTATCTTATTTAATTCTATCAACAATCACATAAACTTGCTCAAGGACAGAGCGGAAGGGCTAGGATTCTAGCCCAAACTTGTGACTTTAACCACTGTACCATAGTTACCGCCTTGGATCCAAATAGAGACGGTTTCCTTTTGCTTTTAAGGTATAACTACAAACTGAAAACTACAGTATTGGGAACTCTGGGTACCCAAGGCCAAGATTTTTTGTCAATGATGGAGACATAGATGGAGCCTATGAATGAATAAATGAGTGGCTGACTGAATGAATGAGTGTGGGTACCAACTGTGAATGAATCAAATTAGTTTGTGAGGTTCTTAGATGACGAGGATACTACACTTTCATGTTGGCATCTCACTGTAAACCAAGCAGTGACATGGTTTTGACCCAGCTCATAAATTCTGAAGACACACTCTGGCTGCAAATTCTAAGACTAAATCTCAATTGTTTCTCAAACAAATTTGTGTGCCCATGCACACACACAGACACACATTCTTGTCCTGTATGCTCTTTCAAAAAAAACCTTATTTTGTTCTTTTTCTAAATACCCATTCAGTTTCTCAAATCCCCAAATAAGAGAGAGGCAGTTCAAACACAAATCTTCCCATTCAAAACATGTATAGTTTTGACTACACTCAAATCAGAGCTCATACCACTATTTTACTATTCTTCGATAATTCTATTTTCAGTTGAAACAATGTACACACTCAACTTCCCAGGTCAACTGGTAGTTCTAAGGAGATTATCATGTGTTCTCTGAAAAGCTAAAAGACCAGTCGTTTTTTGATAGAATGATCATGTGTTTATCTTCAAGTTAAAACAGTATGTAAAAGTCTTTCATGGCTCATATAGAAGAGCCTTTACAGACTTTCATTAATATATCTTGCTGAGTGATTGCCAGATTTCCAAACACACAATCTAAAACTTAGTCATGAGTCAAAGTCCTTAAAGAAGAACCAAAAAGATCCTTTCTCCCCCTACATGCTAAATTGAAAAAGAATGGAAAGTCACATGAACGTGGACATTTAAAAGCACAAATGAATTTACAAAGCACACATTTTGGGGAGCCCTAAGACAATAAAGCGATCAGCACAAAGACATCTGTCAGGGTGGAGGCAACCTGAGGTAAAGACCAGTTAAATCTAATGCAATCAGGAACTTAAGGCCAGTTTAACACTTTTTTTATGAGGTGACAACCTCCTAACACCATAATCTTGCCTTTCAGGAAGATGACACAAGGATTTAATGAGTAAAAGAAAACAACTTAAAACCTCTCTTTTGAGCATGAATTGTCTATTTGGGTTAAAGGTAGTCTTTGAGATCCCATTAGCCATTGGGAAAAGAAACACACACACACACACACACACACACACACACACACACACGCGCGCGCGTATCAAAGGCAAGTAGTTATAGAACGATAGCAATGTCTTTTTCTACTCAGATTCAAAAGCAGAGTTAAAGCCAAAGCTAACAACCCATCTGCTAATTAGAGAAATAAAAATGTCTTCTCCTCAAGTGTCCAACACAACATGAAACTGAAATTAACTGCTTTCCTTTGGGACTCATTTATTTATGTTCAAAAGAAGATTTGGGGATAAAGAAACCCTGCAACGGAACAGTTGGGGAAAACACATGGACAATGTGCATTGGAATAAATGGAGCTGAGCACACATTTACAACAGAGATTTTTTTTCTGCTTGTTGAAGAAACAACTTGGTAGGGTCTAATAAAAATCGGGTTACCTTTACATTTCTTCTCTTCTGTTTGGAAGGTCTGGGCACTTGGGACATTCTGATCAGTCACATCGTCATGGTCCAGATGGAATATTGAGCTAGTCCAAGTGGCCTGGATGAGATGTGGTGATGTCTGTTCATTTTTCAATGCGCTGCGCCTCTCCGCATGGCTCTTCCTATGTAGGCAGGCTTCAGACATTCCTACTAGCTTCCAGTCGTGTTCTCGGTCTGGACAGTGCTTTGGTTTGTCCCAGGCTGGAAGGCCATTTTCTGGAGGGTTGAAAAACACGAGATGACGAGCTGTTGGCATTGTCAAGATTTTGTTGAGATGCAGTTTTGGAAGGCAAGTTGTTTCTCAATTCTTTGGGGCTGACAGTATTCACATGCACCTCCACTTGACGGCAGTGATAAGATGCAGAATTTGTCAGCCTTGGGCATTTAGCCACCGCAGTTGGATTGCCTGTCGGAGTAATCAACACATTCCCCCTTATTTTTAGTGCCTAGAAAGACATTAGTTCCTCCATGGAAAGGCTGTGCTTTCGCCAGCCAGGCTTCCACAGCAATAGCCCAAGAGCAAGTTTACGCCAATTTATGTTACTGCTTAGACGATCGTTTGAGGTCTTGAGGGTCAGGGCTGGCCATGTACACTTTTCAGATCCTTAGGACATAAAACATCCAGGATTCAGCCTTGTTTGACTTTGGTTTCATCACAGGCTGACCTGAGGGGCACCCTTGTTACTTAAGTGGGACATGCTCACGTGGTTCCTCAAAGAGTGACAACTCAGTCCTCCCTACCACCTTCTTCCCTAACAGCCTGATAAAAGGGACTGGATCTTCAAATGGATATTTGTAAATGTAGTCCCAAATAGGCAATGAGATCCAATGAAGGAAAGCAGACAGCGCTTTAGTTGTGGCGCCGATTAGCAGCCCTAATGATAGAATAAGCTCCGGATCTCTTTGGCTGAGGCAGAGGCAGTGAATTACTTATGTATATGGTATTGTTCTTCCTATTTAATTTATAGGGACTTGAAAATCTACCCTCTAGAAAATAGGAAGAAGTGGAATAACATAATGAAAACTTTCTCACACTGATCTTCCCCGGTGGCAAACTTTACCTCCTTGAATATATTTACTGTACATGGATATAAGGTAGTGAAAATGAACAGGCTAATGTATGTATGTATTTGTATATACAAAAAATTAAAAAACAAAATCCATCTGGTCATCCATATTTCTAGAAATTCTTAGGCTACTGTCAAAATGAGAAAAATACAATATAGAGTTATACTTTTAAATTGATCATACACAGTGATTGAAAGACTGTAATTTATAAGTGAATTTTCCTTTATGCAGAAATTACCAAAGGAGCAAAGATATCCATATTAGAGAGAAGAGTCCATCCTGATCTGTGCATAGTATTGGGAGGTTTTTTTCTTTTTTTTAATGTTTATTTATTTTTGAGATACAGAGAGGGAGACAGAGTGTGAGCAGGGGAAGGGCAGAGAGAGAGGGAGACACAGAATCCGAAGCAAGCTCCAGGCTCTGAGCTGTCAGCACAGAGCCTGACACGGGGCTCGAACTCACAGACCGCGAGATCATGGCCTGAGCCAAAGTCGGACATTTAACCCACTGAGGCTCCCCAGTATTGGGAGTATTAAGTAAGCTGCCTTTCTAACATTTAAAACGACTTTTAAATTATTTAACGCAAGGGTTAAAAATGCTTTAGGTTTTCGTAAGCACCCTCTCTAAAGGGCTAAACGTCTTCAGTTGTTGTTAGTTAGGATGGTTTCTCTAAAAGTGTGACCTACTCTCAGTCACTTTGGAAGCCACATTTACCCTGTGAGATTTCAGGTTACTATGTGGAAATTCTAACACACATACACTCTCTTTCTACTCCAGGAGGCGACTGTGAACATTGACAACAAATAATCAACACATGATTTCTTTGTCACAGTAAATGGAAATGCTGTGGCTTGAAATAACAAGGCCAGTAAGCAATAAGTCCTTGCCAAAAAAAAAAAAAAAAATTCTACTGTGACAGCTTTTGGATACAACATTTGATCTTATTCAGAGAAGAGCCCTGAAAATTCACTGTATGCAAACGGCCGTGCTAGGCATTGTGTGAGGTCATGAGTCCTTTCTCTTTGGAGATTACGTGGCCTTATTCAATGCATGGTGAATCAAGAAATCTGGACTCAACCACAGCCAGCTAGTGTGCAATTACAGGTACCTATTCTCACTATCCATTAAAAGAAAACAACAGATTAAAATCGTGAGAGATTGTATTGCATTCAAATTAAACATATCTATGTAGAATCCATTCAAGTTTATTATCCGCGAGGGTTTGAGGTTTTCATGAGCTAAATATAAAGCTACTGAATGCAAGGGTTAATTCTGGGCCTAAAGAGATTGATTTTATTTCTACATACATAAAAAGGCTTCTGACCAATGCATGTTTCTATATGTCTTCTTTGTTTTCAGGGACTCTCTAAATCCTTGGTAAATTGCATCCTGTAAAGCTCCATGTTAAGTAATGCTAAAGTTATCACACTATTTTGTAAAGCCTCCAACATTTGATTTCTCTGCAGAAATTCTTAAAATTTGGTATCAATTTCCCTGATCAAACGGAAATTAAGAAATTCAGCCAAAGTGAGTAGTTACTGCTCCCTAGTGAAGGGAGCTAGTGACCACGCTTGGATGAGAGATACTGAAAGGGACTCCACCCAAGGGGACATTCCTCCTTAAGCACAGCCTATTAAAGCTTGCTCAGCGTGTCCCCTGGGCCAGCAAGAGCAGGGATTTCTTCTAAGCAAGGGAGGTTATGTTTGGGGTGAGGCAAGGGATAAGATTGCCATCCATTTTCCTAAGAAAAGAAGTTGAGATGGTTGGGGGAAAGGGCTTCATTCATGGGAGGCATTTATGGGCTCGTAAATTACTGTCTGTAATTACATTCATGATAATGATATTCAGCCGCTTAATTGGCAAGTTTATTGGTTGGGGCACCTGCTGGGAAACCTGGGGACTGAGAACTCTTGGTTGGGTCATGGGAAAAGTTGAGAGGATTCTATTTAAGGAGGATTCTTGATTCTTATCCTTCCATGAACAGGGCAACACATACAAGTCCTATTCCATTCCAAAGGAGGGATAAGATACCCACTACACCGAGCTCCTTAAATTCTGCCCATAAGTTACCTCACGTGTGTTTGCTTGGCAGTGCTGGTGTTCAGGGGTACCCTGCTATTTCTATGTCTAATGCTCGTATCCTTTGGTTCCCCCCAAACTCAAATCAATGAGGCATATCTTCGTAGAGGGACTGAAATAGCAACAGATTAAGTCAACCATTCTCAAACCTTAGTGAGTGACAATCACCTGAGGCACTACTAAAGAACACAGAAGACCAGGCCTATTGAAGTGGGATGGGGCCAGGGCGTTTGTTTATTTGCTAAGTTCTCCAGATGATTCTGATACCCAAAAGAGTTGGAGATCCACAGAGTTCAGAAAACTGAAGGCAGGAAAACAAATTACTGGCAGGTTCCAGGTAAGGACATAGTCTCCATCTCACACCCTGATGTTTTTACACAGCCTTGAAGTAAATTTGCTTTATAATTAAACAATTCATCAACTGTTTTGGGATCAGCTGTGTGAAGCTTTAAAAGTCAGATGTTATGAAAATATTCTCAGTGCTATAATCATCAGGGAAATGCAAATCAAAAGCACAATGAGATATCACCTCACACTTGTCAGAAGGGCTAGAATCAAAACCACAAGAAACAATAAGTGTTGGTGTGGATGTGGAGAAATAGGAACCCTGGGGCACCACTGGTGAGAATTTAAATTGGTGCAGCCACTGTGGAAAACAATATGGAGACTCCTCCAAAATTTAAAAATAGAACTACCCTATGATTCTCTAATTCCACTACTGGGTACTTACCAAACAAAACAAAAACACTGATTTAAAAAGATATATGTATAATATATGACTTACAATAGGCAAGGTAGGGAAGTAACATAAGTGTTCATTGATAGATGAATGGATAAAGAGGTGCTGTATACACACACACACACACAGAAAAATTACACAACCATAAAAAAGGATGAGATGTTGCCATTTGCAACAACGTAGATGGACCTAAAGAGTATTATGCTAAGTGAAATAAATCAGACTGAGAAAGAAATCCTATCTGATTTCACTTATATGTAGGTAAAATCTAAAAAACAAAATGAATGAACAAACAAAAAGCAGAAGCAGATAGATAAGTACAAAGAACAAACTGATGGTTGCCAGAGGAGAGGAGGGTACAGGGTGGGTAAAATGGGTGAAGGGAAGTGGGAGACACAGGCTTCCAGATATGAATGAATAAGTCATGGGGATAAAAGGTACAGCACAGGGAATACAGTCAATGGTATAATAATAACGTATGGTGACAGATGGTAGCTACCTGTGGTGAGCACAGCATATTGTATAAACTTGTAAAATCACTATTTGTACACCTGAAACTAATGTAACATTGTGGGTCAACTATATTTCAATAAAAGGTCAGATATTAATTGGATATTATCTTATAGATGGTGGGTGCGGATGTAAATAAGTATTCCCCTAAAAAGTCTGTTGCTCTGGGCATTAATTATCTGGGACATGATGTGAATAATAGTAGCAATACACTAAAAATTTTTTAATGTTTATTTATTTTTGAGAGAGAGAGCAAGCAGGGGAGGGGCAGAGAGAAAGGGGGACAGAAGATCCAAAGCAGGCTCTCTGCTGTTAGCAGAGAGCCCAATGTGGTGTTCGAACCCACAAACCATCAGGTCATGACCTGAGCTGAAGTCAGATGCTTAATCAACTGAGCCACTCAGCTGCCCCTGAGACAGAGACAGAGCATGAGCAGGGGAGGGGCAGAGAGAGAGAGAGGGAGACACAGAATCCAAAGCAGGCTCCAGGCTCTGAGCTGTCAGCACAGAGCCTGACGCGGGGCTCAAACTCACAGACTGTGAGATCATGACCTGAGCTGAAGTCGGACGCTTAACCGACTGAGCCACCCAGGAGCCCCACATTTTTTTTTAAAGGAGGATTCTAGGAATGACCATATCTTGTTATTCACATGCAGTGTGAATCCTTTGCTCTTTAATGGATTCTAGCTAATACCTGGCTTTCAATACTTCATATTCTAGACATCAAGACAATTAACCAATTTAATTTATCCAAGAAGAATTGGAGAAAATAAGTAGATAGGAGCATGTGAACTGCTACTAAAATAACCAGGCACA